TATATATGATAGTATCAGGGTTTGTTGTTGGTGTATAACGTGTTATAAGTACCTAATGGATATTGTGATATGATTAATTTGGAATTTATTTTAGGTCAATTTTTTTTTAATACCATAGATATGTATATAATTTGTCTTAAACCTAGACTAACATACCGTCTTCGCTCAGAATCGTTTTTCTTATACAATGATATTGTATCATTGAATTCAAATTTAAAAGCATCCATTTTACAGTGACCCACTTGTAACCTACTGTACAGCAGAGCGACATCCACTTACCCACCTTTTTTTTTTTATAATTGTCAATAAAATTTTATTTGGTGGGCCAAAAAGTCTGAAAATTGAATACAAGCTTTCTTATATATTGTTACAATATCAGTTGAAAAATTTTAAAAATACATAAGCACGATTTTTTTTTATAAGCATTTAAAGTTGGAATTTTGACAAAATTTATCAAAATCTCGAAAATAATCAATCGTTGGAATTAAAAAATTATAAAATGTTCAGTTTTTATAACTAAGAGTTGAAAATTTAAAACAAAGATTCTCTTAAATAATTCATACTGTAACCAAAAAATCTAAAAAATATATAAACACACTTATTTTTTACAGACATTTTAATTTCAAATTTGGACGAAATTACATATTAAAAAACCTAGAATAACTATTTTAGTTATTTTGTTGTGATTGAATAATATTATTCGTGGGTACTTGAAACTTCTAAAGTGTACTATTATATATCTATGATAGTATCACGGTTTTTGTTGATGTATAACGCGTTATAAGTATCTAATGGATATTGTGATATGATTAATTTGGAATTTATTATAGGTACCTATTATAGGTCAATTTTTTGTTTAATACCATAGATATGTATATAATATGTCTTATACTAGACTGACATACCGTCACCGCTCAGAATCGTTTTTCTTATACAATGATATTATATCATTGAATTCAAATTTAATACCATCCATTATACAGTGACCCACTTGTAACCTACTGTACAGCAGAGCGACACCCACTTGCCCACCTATTTGTGTCTGTCATCACGTTTTAAAACAGTAAAAGTGCTTGGATTTTCTTCAACAGTAGCTTTTCTGGTAGGAAAGTGAATCTTGTTGGTACTTTAGGGGGTCAAAAGTTTCCCAGTAGCTTTCATAAGCGCCAGAAAAACAAAATAAAAATTAAGGAAAAACGGGAATTTTTACACTACAATCTGTTTTCGAAAAAATCGATTTTGGTTTTTGGTGCAACTCTTAAACAAATTACCGTAGGTACATGAAATTTTGACTGAATGTTTATATTAGCATTTTCTATACACGATAACATTTTCAAAATATTTTGAACTGTTAAGGGACATTTTCATTTCCCATTTTTTTTTAGTTTTTTTTCTAAAAATATCAATAAAATTTTATTTGTTGGTTGCGAAAGCTTGAAAATTTAAAAGAAGGCTCCTAGTATATTGTTTCAAAGGCAGATGAAAAATATTAAAAATCCTTAGTCACAATTTTTTTTTATAAGCATGTAAAGTTCAAAAATTGACAAAATATGGAAAAATCACGAAAATTTGCAAATTATTTTGAGTTAGAAATTCATAAAAAATTTTCTTTTTAATTCTAAAATATGAAAATGTAATACAAGACTCCTTATAAGATTATCTACCTTTATCAAAAAATAAATGTCTATAAGAAAGTCAAATTAAATTTTTATGAGCTTTTGAAATTCAAATTTTACAACATTGGATATTCACTCGATTTCTCATGTAGCGATTTCCTTATTTTGTTGTAATACAAAAACGAATAACTGTAGATACATGAAAATTGCACTGAATGTTTATATTAGCATTTCCTATACACCATACAATTTTGAAAATATTTTGACTCTTTTTGAGCTGTTTACGGACATTTGCAGTTTTCAATTATTTTAGTTTTTTTTTCTTTAAATATCAATAAAGTTTTATCGGTTGGGCCAAAAAGTGTAAAAATTTAATACATGGCTTCTGATATATTGTTTTACAATGTTAGTTGAAAAATATTAAACATACATAGGCAAAATTTTTTTTTATAAGCATTTAAAGATCTAATTTTGACAAAATTTATCAAATTTAAAATTGAATAATTATTTTGTAGTTAAAAATGTATAAAATGTTCAGCTTCTATATCTAAGGATTGAAAATTCAAAACAAGATTCCACGTAAGTAGTTAATTCTGATACCAAAAAATCTAAAAAATACATAAGCACAGTTTATTTTTATAGTCATTTTGAGTTCAACTTTGGACAAAATTCCATAAAAAAAACCTAGAATAACTATTTTAGTTATTTTGTTGTGATTGTATAATATTATTCGTGGGTACTTGAAATTTCTAAAGTACACTATTATATATCTATGATAGTATCACGGTTTTTGTTGATGTATAACTCGTTATAAGTACCTAATGGATATTATGATATGATTAACTTGGAATTTATTATAGGTACCTATTATAGGTCAATTTTTTTTAATACCATAGATAAGTATATAATATGTCTTATACCTAGACTGACATACCGTTTCCGCTCAGAATCGTTTTTCTTATACAATGATATTATATCATTGAATTCAAATTTAATATCATTCATTATACAGTGACCTACTTGTAACCTACTGTACAGCAGAGCACCTTTTTTTTGTTGATATTTTTAATTTCTGTAAAAATAACTTTCGAAGAACGTTAAATATTTTAATATTACATCATATCTAGCAAAACTTTATATAAAATAATAAATTTATTTGGTGAAAGTGTCATAAGTTTCACAAAATATCTTAAAAAAATAAAACCACCAATTTTATTAACAATCTAATTGGAAACACAATAGCCAATAGACAATTATTAAATATATTTTGGGTTAAGCACCTTGTTAGTTATTAAAATAATATTTTAGACTTGTATCTCTTCTAGAATATATATTTGTATTCTTTATTATTAGAATGAATTGATCTATTATTAAATGTAAAGACAAGAACATTATATTTGTGTGTACGTCAGTTTTTTTTCTATACTTCAATATTTAAGCAAGTTTAGTAGGTGAGCAACATATTACCATGTAAAAATGCTCACATCTATCTCTTTAAAATTTAAATATCGTAAAATTCAACTCACAATCACATTATATGCCTAATGTTCTTAAAATAGATAAATTGCCTCAAATATTTTAGTTAAGAACACACAACCGTTTCTGCTGTAGGTACAAAGTTTTTCATGTCGAACAATCGCAAGATGGAGTAAAATAAAAACAATTATAATAAATTTCACAAATTTAATAATATGAATCGCTTTTTCTTTGGGGTGTAATGCTAAATGGTTTTCAGAAATAAAAATAGTAAACCTAATTTAAATATTTGGTGCCAAGTTTACACATCCAATTTTTATTTACATGTGGCTGAGTATAAGTAAATAATAATAATAAATGTATATCACCCAAAAATTTTATTTTATTTTTCTCTCGGTAATAAGTAGGTTTCAAAATATGTCCCAAAACATGTCGTTCCTATTCATTTTGGTTAATTGTTTCGAAAAATTATCCGGTTCCCGTTTCATTGTAATCAAAAATATATAAAGTATCTTCAAAGGTTTACATATTTCTGTGATTTAGTTTTCTATAAACAATTTCACTCTTCGTAATTTTATCTATATTGAGTATTTGAGTATATAATCATATCCATTTTGAATTTAAATCTGTGGTACAAGAAGCACTGATAGTTAAGTATTGATCTTCGATAGTTTTACCCTGATTTTTATGTACCATTTTTATTTATTAGATGATCATAACATTTTCAAAATTAGAATTTTTTTAGTTTTTCTTTGCACATAGAGTGAAAAGCTTCATTAAGGCTATCGATTTGGAAATCCAACCATAGTTTTCCTGTTTTTATTCTTTTGTGAATTTTATTATTTTCATCATTATATATTAATATTTAAAAATGTATTATTCATTTTAATTATTGTAGATTGATATTAAAACACAACAAAATCATTTAAATTTAATTTGAATCATTAATTATGTAAGATTATTTTATGTAACTTGTTGTAGTTATGTTGTCTTTATACTGTCCATTCTACTTGAAAAAAACCATTCAAACAAAGATGTTAACCTTAAAATTTGATAACAGGCCCATACACTCAAACAACAAAATTGGTTCTCTCGTACGAAAGTTGTCAAACGTTTGGAAGGTGGGGAGGGTGAGACGGGGGGTGTTATCTATATACTAACTCAATAGTGATCAATGATCATGTACCTATAGGTAAAGGGGTGAACTCTGTCTGAAATTCCTTATTTAGATTTAATATAGGCCTTATTATAATAACAGAAAGGTAACAAAAATATCGAGTAATACTTATTACTGTAATAGCATATAAGTAAGACGTCAATTATTGTAAGCTTGGCCTCGATAATTTTTCAATTGCATATAATATGTTGTATTATATATATTATTCAACTCATCTAAAAATATTCCTTCATCAGAAAATTTAAAGAAGTACTTATAAACTGCAGTAGTCTATATTAAATTAAGCAGTTTTAACGGGCTAATTAAATATGAAAACCAAAAACTATCAAAAAATTAAAAAAGAATAAATATAAATTTCGCTTTAAAAATATCAATACTATTATTTAAGAAAATATAGATTACCTACGCTTGGCTTAAAATTTTCCAAGAGATGAATACATAACACATTAATAAGCATGCAATTTTATGCAAGGATGTTCAAAGGTACCTATATATTTCACAAATATACAATTATTACGATACACACGATTTTAAAGATATTTATGTAAAATTAAAGCGAATATAAAAGTATATTTTTAGTAAATAAAAATGTAAGTATTAAATAAAAATATTTAACCTAATTTAAAAACTATACGTCTATAGTTCACATCAAATTTTAAATTATAACTTACGAAAAACGTTTAGCCAATTATAAGTATAAAATGTATTAGGTACATCTGAAAATTATGGTTTTATTGTTCAATAATATTTTTGTTATTTTTCTTTTGATAAATAGATGATGCCAAATGTGCATACACACGTTGTTCCTTCATCAATTGGGAAGATCGGTTCTTGAACTCTTCCTGTTCTCGTTTTATTGTTTTTAAAGTATTATCAAGTTCCTTTGATTCAAGAATCAACATATTTCTTTCGTTTAGTTTTCCATCAATAACTTCACTCTTCGAGTTTTGATCCAAAATCGTAATCATTTTGTTTACAACATCTGTCACACTAAAAGTTCCAATAATCGAATATTGATCTTCTATCGTTTTTCGTAATAACTTAACCTCTTTGCCGATCGGAGAATTTTCAAAATTTAAATTTACATTCTTTTTTTCTTGGCACAAAGAGTGAAAAGCTTTATCCAGGCGTTCGATTTGAAGTTTTACCGATCGAACTTTTCTTTTTTCATTTTTTTTGTCGATTTTCATCGTTATATATTTATGAAAATTTATCATCATTTATATAAATTGTAGACTGATATTAAAATACTACGGACTTATTTATATTTAATATGAACCATTACTATAGTTATTTAAGTACAAAGTATTTGTATTTTAAACTATAAAATTTTAGGTTACCTATCCAAAAATAATAATAATCGCTATGCAATTATGCACATTTAAACTAATCAATATTTACAATGTAATATTTGACTTTTCGTAGATCCTCATATTGTAATGTCACATTTATTTAAATATAATATGCTCATTTTAAAATATTATAAAAAAACACTTGTCTTATTAACTTAAAATTGGAACAGCAATAGTCAATAGATAATTTATTATTAAATATATTTTAATTAAGCTCTATATTATGTTAATTATTACAATTTTGATAAACTATGATCGTAACTTGTTCAACTATTAAATTATTACAAAAATACGGAAAAAAAAATTATATTGGTACATTTTTGTCCAAAGTCGATAAGATAATATTTTGTTAACATTGTGAGGACGGCATGACGCGACATCTTTTGAGTACCCTTGTAACCAAAATTGGATTTGGCACAGTTACAAATATCTAAACACTAAAGTATATTGAAACTTTGAAAATTTGCTTTTTCATTGTACTTTCAGTTATGAATTATTACAGATGGCTTACATGTTTTACTGTTGCTTAATCGAAATTTCTAGTTTCAGATGAAGCACGCCTGACCTAATTCTTCTGAACTGTATTTAACGTTCAGTACGGTGTGGTTGTATTATTGAACTAGAAAATCACCAAAACTACCATTCATCGCCAATCGCCATCGTACATTGAATTGGTTTGAATAATAAAAACACATATTTTGTTTTTATTTATTTTATCCACAGTTCACAACGCCCTTAAAATATGTAATATATTAATGTATATTATATTATATATAACAACTTAATGCAAGTACTTATGTTTTTATTTTTTTTTTTTGCCGGAGAAGAAGCAATGTGAGCAACAGTTCCTTCTCCGGCTCTCGATTAAACCGAAAAAAAAAAGTACTTATGTTATATGTTTGTATGTACCTATGTCACGTGTGCCGAATGTTACAGCAATACAGCTCATATTGAGGTATAGTATTTTTTCTGTGTCCGTGGCCTTTAAATCAATAAAGGATAACACATGAAAAGATTGAAAATATTAAATTAAATTTTTCTAAATCTTTGTAAGCAATTTTCCTTACAAACATCATGACGTAATATACACAATACCATTATGAAAGTATTTAAGTATACTGTATACACTATTATATATATTTATAAGCGTATTAATGCTATAATCCCTTTCGGATTTTTTCTTTCTGATAATAACGAGTCATCTAATAATAGTTTGAGTGCTAAAATGTTGTAGGTATATTGTTATAATCCTTTACCTTATTTTATATTTTCATGTCAACATAATAATAATCATAATTATAATCACAAAATTTAAAGATACATAGATATGATATGCCTGTGATTAATCTATTTTAGCTTCCCGATATTATCTCAGCCAGAATATATGTAATTCGAAATAAATATATATATATATATATATAATATATATATTTTTAACTATATTCTCAATGTAAAAATTTAAATTACTTATTAACAGCCTCGAAATTTAGTTTGAAGATTATTTATACAATAAAAAATTATTATAATGATATGTGCACTGTGAATGCAAGAAATGAACCAAGGAAATGGAAGAAGACAATTATTCGAAATGTTGATTGTTGATAGGTGTAATAAGCATATAGGTGCTTCATTAAAATGTTAAAACTGCAGCTTATAACGAAGTTTTTAAATATATTTTATTTTTTTTTATTAATTAACTCGTGGCAACTTAGGCCATTGTGTGGTTTTTTACCGTGGTTGAGGGTACTGTAGGTTTAAACACGTGTGTTTGTTAGTTTGGCAGAATTTTCTAGTGGGCACCAGTAGATATGTGCCATGCCCAGGTGGGGGATGGCGGCCACTCTCTCCAGACACCGTGACTGCCCGAAGAGAAGTGAGATGTTTATCTAGGCTTGTATAGAAGTCGATTTTCGATATTTTGTTTTCAATGCCCAATATTTAGCTCCAAAAAAATGTTCACTTTTTGAATTTGAATTATTGAGTTTAGTAATTTTCAAATATCAAAAATGGACTTATACACGGGTACAGATTAACTTCTCTTCTACAATATTGATAATAGGTGTTTTTACTCTCAACCCTCTCAATAAACCATATTATTCGAAGTACAAAAATCAATTTTCATATCATTTTTCCATGGTATTCATACCCCTTAATTATAAAATAATATTTCACAAGAAAAATCATTTTTTTCATAAAATGTTAATTAAGTGGCCCACAGAAGAAAGTGGCCACAAAGTTACCGATTTCCGGATATGATAATTTACTCCTGACTATATATGCTATATTTATACATAATATTATAGTGAAATACTGAAACCTCTAAATACCGGACACTCTCGGTAACTGAAATTTTGTCCACTATTCAAAGGGTTCAGTTAGTAGTTTGTTCTTTTATAAAGAGGAAATTCGGAGGTGCATATTATATACCTACATCCCTTTTGTAAAAATAGCATCAGCAGTAATTTTATAAAGGGACTTTTTTTTACTATGTGGAACTATATATAGTGATACTTTTTAGTATTTTGTCTCATGTGGTTTGTCTGTCAATCAATAAATATTGAACATCACTGGAAATGTTAAAACTATACCTTGGCTACACCTTTCTTTTTGTGCCGAAGTAGGTTAATTTAACATTCATTAAACGTTTAAATATTTTCTGTATAATTAAGTCCAGTAAAAAATACTTTTTATGTTAAAAATCAATTGTCTAACAGTTAACGTTTATTTTTCAGAATTGAGATGTTAATTTCACATGTCTATACCGCATACAATATATATATATAATATATTATGTGTATAATATCAAATATATGTACAAAATTCTGTAAATGCACCATTATTATATATTGGAATACACCCTGCAATATTATAGGCACGTACAAAGCATCACGTATATCACTTAAACATTCCGTTTATTATATTTTATACATTATGGGTCATATGAACGTTCTTATTGTTATGTATTACTATATGCAGATTATAATATAATATTAAATATTATATACTAGGCACTGACCACTGACGACTGGCAAAATATACAGAATGTTCCGTAGTAACGTGTTTAGATCCTAGCCGATAATTTGTTCAAATGTTTGTCTTATTAAATGATCACACTAAATTGTTAATTTTTATTTAAAAATTTGGAGTTGTGGGAAATTTATTGTTTCAACTATTTCAAAAGTTTATTGAAAAATAAGTATACTTATAAACAATTTAGAAATAATATGTTTTATTATGCAGAGAGCACTAATAATATTGTAATATAAATTATAACCAATTAATTAAAATGTATTTAATTAAATATTTTATCCATCAACTCTTAATCTTATTTCTTACGCCATCCTCAAAACCACCATTATTTTGTATCACCGATCCTTAGTACTTGAACCTATTCACCTCACACATCACATGCCTTGCCCCATACATTTCTCAAAACCAAAACATTTCTCTCTTGGAACTCTATCATACGCTCTGTCTAAATCTCAAAACCTCATTCATACTTCTAGGTTTTTTTCATGAATTTTGATAAATTTAATTCCTAATATAATGCATAGTTGGTTATTGTAGGGAATGAAGCGCATCTAGGGCTATAGCGCCACACCAATGGAATACAATTATAATGCTTAAAAATATTGACTATAAATATGGGTAAGTACTGATTTATTACATTTTATATCAATGACATAATTTAAACACTCAAAAAAATTATTGTTGTAGAATATTTGTACATTTTTAAGAACAGAAAAATTAAAATATTATAGACCGGAATATATAAGGCATAAGCATTAACTATTTTTAATTTTAGAACAAATTGTATTTATTCCTGCGTTGCTTTACAAGAAATATAGCTTATTCCATCCACTGATTATAATAAACAGTTATTCTTTTAGAAAAGTACAGCGTTTTTTCAATCAGTCGTTTCTTAGTAATTTGTTTTAAATTATAATTTGAAGTGGCTACCTGAAATTAAGTAATCTTTTCAAAAAAAAAAAACTACTAAATTTTATCATATATTTGAATATTTAATTTTTTTAACCATGTAGCCTAACCATATTTGTTTTAATTTGATAGTTTTCTGCACAATACTTTTATTGTAATGTACAGTATTTACAAAATATATGAAATTTTAGAGCACTACATCTTAATTTACAAGCAAGGGAACATATTATGGGCTATCTAAACTTGAACGGATCTACATAGAAAAAAAATATTGATAATAAATCTAAAAATTCACTAAGATAAAATATTAGTTTTTTTGCAATAATATAGTATTATAAAAATATATACCTACTGTTAAAAACCTACTTGGAATATCGACTTAGACTTAGAATTGTGTACCCACGTGCGTTCTTAATAATTTAGAGGTGACCAATGCTCTGTTTATTTTTCTATGGTTATATATTATCGTTTCCGAGAACACCAAAACATATTTCACTTGAACCATCAGGGGCGTTTTGTTTTACGGCCGATGGAATATCAAATATTTTATATCGTTGTTTTTTTTTATGACGTTTACATAATATAATATTCACGATTAAATAATATTTAGCTGAATAGCTCACGAGCGGATACGACCGGAGGATTATATGTATATGTATTTTTTTCATCTTAATATGTTGTATAATATGTTATTGTTACACGATTTATGGCCCTACAGGTACCCTATTACCTAGGTATTAACTTTGCATGTTATTGTCGTGTCTTACAGAATTTTTTTTACAGCACACATACAATAACGTCGGATACAATATATTATAATGATATTACGTGCATTATGATACCTATATATATAGGCGCCAAGCCAACATTCGTGTACCGATGTATATATAAAAGGTGTG